AAAATAAAATGTTGTTACTTAGAAAAAACTAAATGATATTTATCATCCCAGATGTATCTCCATACATTTTGAAAGATAGGCTAGTAGAAATACTTTTATAAACAAAGAATTTTTCTGTAATACCATTCTAAAAAAAAATGTTTTACATTTAATTTTACTTGGTTTTTAACAGAAGAAAAGGAAACTAAAATGGCACTTAAGAAATGGCGGATTTTCAGATAAATATTTCCTTACTTCATGAGATATTCCTTCTTAAGAGATCCCTAAAGGCTAGTAAGAAATATTACCTAAAAGTTTAATATGGAGTCATTTCATTTATACTCTATGTATCAACGTTAGGCAGCATTTTTTATGTATTCCTATGGAAGATAAAATTATCAGAACACTCATAATCCAGCCATCTTCACTCTCCCACACCCCAAGTGTTGGTAATTAGGTGAGTATTTTACCATTGTCAAGGTTTATAAATTTAAAATTGGTTCTGCAACCATAACTCTTCAGCTTCTTGGACAAATTTCCACATTTAAATCGATTTAGGGCTTACTCTCAAGCCTTCTACCACAGCTTGTACATTCCAGAGGCCTCTGTTTTGATGCATCTTTCAGTCAGCTGGAATCTGTCATCAGATAATTGTTTCAATAAGGGCTCATGGGCGCCAAAGCTCCTGAGGGCTTGGCTACCGAAAGGAAAACTTTCTCTATTCAGAACACTTCTGATATCAAACGTGTAGGGTTGGGTTTTTGTTTTTGTTTTTGTCTTCCCATATTTTTCAGTAATATATATATTTTGCATTATCAGTCTCCTGTATTCTTTGACTTTTTATTAAATAAGGATTTAAGTTTCTTATAATACTATCTCCTCTCAATATGGTGATAACTATTATTAAACCAATAGTCAGTGCCTACATTACATATCACAGTTGACCTATTTGCTCTAACTATGTTTCCTTTCTGTTTTCCTGGAGTTAATGTCTTCTTTTCTTTTTTTTCATTTACTTAGTTTTCTTTGTACTTTTGCCAATTCTTCCCAAACTTTCCAATTCAGTTTTCCAGTATAGTTTTCTACATCAGGTTACTTACCACTTCCAATTTTCAGAGACCTTCTCTTACTCTCTGGACTACTACTCTTCAGGTTTTTTTGGACAGCTGTCGCCTGAAACTTCCCTTTGCTATCATCCCTAGAATTTCCTTTCTCTTGAGTTGGAGTCCCAGATCCCTAGATCTCAGGCCTTCTCTCTCTGGGCTTATTCTTTTGCTCTGTGGAGCACACTCTTCAGCAGTTTTGTCAAGTTAAAAATTTGGTACAATTTGGAGGGCTTGGTGATATGAGCATTCCATATACCTGTCTCTTGAGACTAATCTAATTTTAACTAGTTGCCTTTTACAGCTGGGTTAACTAACTCCCTAAGATACCCCTTCACCATCTTCCTGGATATTTCCCTAACTTATTTTCAGTATCCCATTTCTTCCTATCTCTTGGTTTACCCTTTTAGGTAAACACATTCTAGCAAAGGCTGCCTGGGAGGGATTTGTGGAGACTTTGTGTGCTTGAAATATCTTTAGTCACCCTCACACTTGGACTGATAGTGTAGAACTCCATTCTAGCCATGCTGCTCTCCCAGCTATTCCCGGAACATGAAAGACACCCTTCTTTAGCTTTCTCATTTGCATTTGCTGCGTGGCTAAACTCTCTCACCTCCTTCAGGTCTTGCTCAAATACTATACATATATTCATAAATTGCCCACCCAGAAATACCAGCCACTTTCCTGCTTCATTGTACTTCCAGAGCACCAGTGGTATACTATATATTTCCCTTTGTTTATTTTTATTTATCCCAACACCTGGAACAGTGCCTGGCACATAGTAGGCTATCAATTCATTTGTTGAATGAATGAATGAATGCATGAATGAATAATAAACACTTGTTCTATCCCTATAATATGCCAAAAAGGAAGAAGATAATTTTCTTGTTATGATAAGAATCCATTCATTTGATATATAATTAAGAATTTGCTGATCATGGCACTTGAAAATTGAGATAAGATTTTGAAATCTTTTCCTTTTAGATTTTTAAACATAAAATAGGTGACCACTTGATGCTTATGATTTAGTATATATATGTGTATATGTGACCCTTTCTGGCAGAATTTAAAATAGCCTTTCATCTGCACTTGTCCTTCACACCTTGCTCACCTTCTTGGCCTTCCTCTGTCTACTAGTGGGGCTTCTGGCTGCCCACACTGAGCCCATCTTCCCCCATTATCCAGTTGTCTCACTTTGGGCTTCAGCTTGACCTAAGTTCATCTACTTTGGTTTGAACTATTTCATCTGTGGCCTTTGCTTTTTATTGGGCCCCTGCCCAGAGAGTGACCACAGTAGCCTTCTACACTATACCCAACAGCTGGGCTTTTAATCAGCACCCCATAATACACACATATAAATATACCTCACACCCTCACGGGAACCTCACACGCACACACATACTTGAACAGAGTAGCTAAAAAGTCAAGTTATTCTGAGTCTGTTTCTTCTGCTTCCTTCATGATGAAATGAATGGCCTTCGTCTTTAGGGCTTCTCCATTGCAGCATAAAAAAACTTCATGTTCAGATGACCTGTGTCAGTGCCATACCTAATTTCTACATAAGAATCTGATGAAGCCCTAACTGGTTTGGCTCAGTGGGTAGAGCATTGGCCTGCAGACTGAAGGGTCCCAGGTTCGATTCTGATCATGGGCATGTACCTTGGTTGCAGGCACATCCCCAGTAGGAGGTGTGCAGGAGGCAGCTAATCAATGTTTCTCTCTCATTGATGTTTCTAACTCTCTATCCTCCTCCCTTCCTCTCTGTAAAAAAAAAATCAATAAAATATACTTTTTTAAAAAAAGAAAGCTTGTGGATACTGCTGTCCAGAAACTTCTCCTTTAAAAAAAAAAGAATCTGATGAAAATGTAATTACTTAAAATACATTCCTAACTAGTGGTAAGATTTAGATGATACTTTTATTTCAAAGGAATTGACGATGGCCTTGGTAGTTTCAATATCAAGCCAAGAAAGAGTAGGAGTCTTTTCAAATCACATTTAAATAGGGCTGCTAGATTCAGCAAAGAAAAATACAAGCTATCCAATTAAATTTGAATTTCAGATAAGCAACAATTAATATTTTAGTTTGTGTGTCCCAATGGGAAGCCTATATTTTATCTAGCAACCCTACATTTAAATAGCCAGCTGCTCTTATCAGGAAAATAACTTGGACAGGTTTATTTTGGATGTGAATGATTAATGTCAAGTTGCCACAGAGTTAGAAATTAATTTTTATTGGTTCATGACATAATACAGGGAACTATTTAATCTGGCTAATGATAGACTGGGTGGTTTAAACAATAGAACTTTACTTGTCACTATTCTGAAGGATTGGAAGTCCAAGATCAAGTTGCCAGCTGTTTCCTGGTGAGGACCCTCTTTCTGAGGGCCTTCTTGCCGTATCCTCACGTGACAGAGAGAAAGGGAGACAGAGAGACAGGGAGAGATCATTTCTCTCATGTCTGTTCTTACAAAGGCTCTAATCCCAATAATGTCCCAAATACTATCACACCTCACCTCCAAATACTGTCACACTGAAGATCAGGGCTTCAACATAAGAATTGGGGAGGATACAAACCTTCAGTTGATGGCAATGGATTTAAATAAAACTACAGTGTGAATGCAGAGAGATCTTGGCTGTTAGAAACATCATTTCTCACAGTTGACTGGATTATGCGTGGACACATCCAGGCACCCTCCCCAGGTTAGAGAAACGAGGGTGCTTCTCTGAAAGATACGTACAATTCACCAACAGGCAGGTTTTATTTTAAGAAACTAAACCTAATATGATTCCATCTCTCGGAGCTGTTTATCACTTAGAATTTTAGTTAGGGTGGTTGCACTCTAGTAAATTAGCTGACTGAGAGTCCAAAGATTATATCTGCACCCCGACAGTTCATTCATCATGCTTAACATTTAGATTTCAGTACAGCTTCCCCACACATTTGCCAAAATACCACTGAAGTAATCACAGAAAGCTCCCTGTTTTGATCTGTCTACTGCCCTAAATATTGTCAGTGATCCTAGATTTAGGTTTATTGGAATATTTTAATAACCCACCAATCTCTTATCTAATAGTTTCATTTAACCGCTTTTCATAAACATGTATTGATTTTAATTTATCACCAAAGTGGGATTGGACTTTAGTAGTTCAATGTGTACTTACCTAAGAAAGCAATGCAAAATCGTGGTAAAAATTATCAAGGTATAATCTTGTAAAAGTGACAAAACCTTTAAATATTACCAAATATTTAGCAAGTTGTATGGTGAATGTAAAGTTCAAATTATATGTGTAACCAACACCTTTACTCTTTCAATATCATTTTGTAAATTGGCAAGTTATTCAGTCAGATTATACAGTTTTGGAAAAGCATAATTTAATTTTAATTGTTAAAACCACCAAAATAGGATAACTAGAATCCCCAAAAAGATACAACTGAAAAAAAATACAGGCTTGCATGACTGGAAGGTAAATAAAATGTCTAGCCCAAAACTGCACAGCTAGTTGACTAGGAATTCCAGGTGGGGATGTGGGATGCAGATATATTCAATGCCATTTGTGGTTTAGTACCAGCTGGTGACCTAGTCAGCTTTTACCACCTGGTACCCAGATGTACTGTGTCGGGCTGAGTGTGATTCCAGAAATTCTGGGTAATTGGTTATCTTTTTTCTTATGCATGTAGAAGTTTTGGGCCTGAAGGAAATGGTTTCGGGACCCACCTGCTGTCTCCATAGGTTTAGACATAGGGTTGCCTGCCCCTTTCTGTACCAGTTTCTTATTCTTTTAAAATATGACATTAAGTCATCAATGTAAATGTTATTTTTTTAAGGCTAACTTTAACTTTGGATTTTTTTTTCTATTCTTTGGGGGAAATGCTTGGATGTAATGAATTGGTCTCAGGAGCTTTCTCCATGGACAGTTCTTTGTCCTCACCTGCTACGGCCTCTACCTCCCTATCAGAAACTCGACCTTTCTTGGCTGCATCAAGCATCTTCTCTCTGACTGATCAAAGTGCCACAGACATAATGTCCATTGACCAGACACTAACCATCCCCACTGATGATTACTCTGCCATCAGCCAATCAGCTCTGGAGATTTCACATTTGCCTGCATCTTCAGAAGATAGCACGTTGAGCACAGGCAGCCAAGATATAGCCCAAGGCTTAGAAGAAATGGATCTATCCAATTCTTCCACCTCCTCTGAGGTACCAGGATTCAGTGGATATGTTTCCACCCCAGACAATTTCTTGGAGAATACCACTCCCGGCCCAGCTTTACAGATTATCACCGCCAGCTCTGTGACCATCGCCGCCGAAGGCCAGGAGCTGGTGGTGTTCTTCAGTCTGCATGTGGCTAACATGGCCTTCTCTGACGCCCTGTTCAACAAGAGCTCTCTGGAGTACCAAGCTCTGGAGCAACGATTCACACAGCTGGTGAGTAGGCACTGCTTACTATTCTCTATGTCTCTTCTTTTTTGTTGTTGTTGTTACTTTATACATAATCACAGGCTGTCTTGAGCAATGCTGGTTGGAAGAGGCAAGCCTCTGATGTGGTTGTCGCTGAAGGCATTCAGCTAGAGTGTTGAGATGGATTCAGATCCAAGAGGCAAGTGAATTCTCTGGTGGACACATGAGCAGACATTGCCACTCAGACTCCTGGGAACAAACTTATACTGAACAACCTTTCCTTATAGTTTTTCCTAATTTAGTTTTCCCAGAATAATACATAGCCTCTCAAGTTCTGAGCTTCGGATTTAAAAGCAGGATGAGCAGACTTTCCCCAAGTTATAATGTCACTATTTTCCAGCCGACTGACCACAGGGATCTAAGCTAGGAAGGTCCAGCACAGAGCAGGCCAAGAGCTCAGGTGTAAACACTCTTTGTTCAGTCCCCCTTCAGTTTTTGTTTTTAACTAAAAAATGGTTAAATCATCCATGATCCCTAACAGAGAAAATGAGATGATGGCATATACCTGTGATTATAAAACGCCCCCAAACTCATATTTGTCTTGTTTCTACATGTGGGATAAGAAATGCATGTACAGTAAGAAATGCTGAATTTCTGAAAATGACAGAAAAATATTTGTAAGCTTCACATAAGTTAAATTGTTGTTTAAATTAAAACCACATAAAAACTAATTCTTCAAGTGAACTTTAAAGGAAGACTTTGTGCAGTCTAACCCCGCAGTACCACCCACCATGAGGTGAGTAGGTAATTGGGTTAATCTCAGGGAATGGGCTCCCAGTGGGCCTAGCACAGGGGTACTCCTTAGGGTACATGCCGAGCTGCCATAATGAAGAAACCAACAATAGAGTAACTTAAATAAGATACAAGTTCATTTCTCTTTCACTTGGTGGGTGGGACAGCTCCACTCTACACCATCCAGGCACCCACATTCCTTACATCTTGTAACTCTGTCAGCCCCAATGGTGTTTCCTCGTAGTCACAGCTGGGTCATTTCCACTTGTGAGAAGGGGAAAGAGAGAAAGCCCAGGGGAAGCAATTTCCTAAGCAAGTGATACCAAAGTTGCCCATATCTCTTCCATTCATATTCCATTGGTGGGAACTAGTCACGTGGCCACACCTGGCTGCAAGGGAGGCTGGGAAATGTGGTCTCTAGCTAGGCATCCTCTTTCTAGAGAAAAAAGCAGCTAGTCATTTGCACAGTAGGTGAAGACAGGGAATTCCCCCCAGAGCTAAGACACAGAATGAATTCAAAGTTAAGTAGGCAAAATCACGAGAGACTAAATTGGAAAAAGAAGTTCCAAGCTCGGTGTAAAATTTCATTTCATTTTTTTTTTTTAATTTTCACAATGACCTTGAGGCAAGGGGAGTGTATAAGAATGGGGATCAGGGTCATAGTCAAAATTCTGGTAAGGCACAGGGACGAAATCAAAGCCGGGCGGGGCTGTGCCTGGAGGTTGCAGCTTGCACCTGTGTGCTCCCTGGGCTCAGAGGTGTCAGTTTATGGATGAGAGGCTCACTTTCTGGGCCCAGAACAAGGCAGGTATTGCTGAGTTTCAAACATTTCTGAAAAGAGATCTCATGGATGGCCCTGGCTCACAAGAGGGCAGGTGTGGAAGCCTGAAGTACATTGCCCTGGGGCTTACTTTTATATTATTACATTATAGTTTGGAAAAGGTTCTTAGGGAACCACTTTCTCGTCTCCCTCACCGTTCAGATAAGGGCACTGAGGTACAACACAATGCTAAGTGTCTCAGTGAAGGTCACACAGCTGGTTGGGAACAGTTCCAGGGCTGACTGCCAGATCCCTGCTATTTCCACCGCACCGCGTTTGTGTTGACCGTGAAACACAGCCCGCATAAACAGACAGGCTGATGTTTAAGCTGTTGTTTGCTTCAATGGGTCATTTCAAGCTGGTTGCTTCCAGATAGACAGCCCATTTACACAGGCGTGGGCAGTCCGCTCCTGAGCTCAGCTTGGAACATGTTTTTATTTACTTGGATTTAAAAAAAAAAAAAAGCAAAACTGAACTTGGCATTTCTGCTTTGCTGATAGCATTGGCCTGGGTTCTTAAAATCCTCTGTTCTCACAACTCATTCTGAACAAAACCACTGCCCATCCATCTCAATACACAGACAGAAAGGTGGAAATGTGGGACATGATCACTGCAAATAGAGCATTAGGTAGTGGTGTTCTGGTCTCCCGTTAAATCCAAACACACAAATATAAACCAATAATTGGAAATGTATGCCTCAGGTAATGAGAAGTGAGTATGAACAGAATTAGCAACAGCTGAGCGCTAGAACATACTTATGAGTAAACCATCTTTTATTTTGCAGCTGGTTCCGTATCTACGATCCAATCTTACAGGATTTAAGCAACTTGAAATACTTAACTTCAGAAATGGGAGTGTGATTGTGAATAGCAAAATGAGGTTTGCTAAGCCGGTGCCCTACAACCTCACCAAGGCCGTGCAGCGGGTCTTGGAGGATTTCCGTTCTGCTGCAGCCCAACTACTTGATCTGGAAATAGACAGCTACTCTCTCAACATTGAACCAGGTAAAAGCATTCCATTCACAAGTGGGCGGGAGTTTAGGGGAGTTTGTTTGTTTGTGTAAACTTGCAGCTCAACCTTGAGGTCACAAACATCAAATTAAAATCACACTTGATAAAATAATCGTTTGGAATCTGTGGATCGCCTTATGCGAGAGGTAGAGTCCTAAGACATGCAGGTTAAATTTTTCCTACATCAAAAAGCAAAGAACAAGTGCACCTCCTGCTTCACAATCTGAGAGCTTTAATTTCCCATCAGAGCAACACTTATGCGGAGTTTAAGAGCTTTTTTAAAATACAGTCCACAACCAAACTAACTTACATTTTGCTAAAAGCCCAAAACACCTTCTCAGGGAACTGCAGCAACCTGGGGGATTCCTGCCTAAGAAAGCTGCCAGTCATGGTTAACAACGGGAATCACCTCTTCCTAGCACAACTCAGGTTGAAACTGAAACAGCATCCTGAGGGGGGACATAATCATTCAACCAAAATGTAAACTTGGAAAAAAGCCACATTGCCCATCATGAAAGAAAGAAGAAAATAATGTCCCTTCCGGTTTCTGCACCCTAGATGAGCTTCCATCTCAGATCAAAACAGAGTTTGCTATGAAGAAAACTCTTAAAAGATATGGGGGCTCAGCCCAAAGCTCCACAGTAGAAAGCGCACATTTGTTCGGGTAAGAAAGCTATATAATTACCATTGGAACCAGCTGTGCCCAAAGTGGGACCTATTTCCACCATTACTTTCAAAATTCTGTTTTCTAAACAATTGCAAAAATGTTTTGTTTGTGCTTTGTTTTGTTTTGTTTTGTTTTGTTCCACTCCCTGGAGTGCAAGGGTCCAAGGCTCCACATCTACTGCCAATGCAACCTGCCAGTCAGGCTACAAACAACGCCTCCTGATAGGCCATGAATTAGTAAAGTGAATCTTGAACAGCCTCTCTGGCTTTCTGTGGACTAACAATGAAGGCAGAGAGAAAGGCCTTGGGCAAAATCCAAACAAAAAGGCTCAATTGGGAGACACTTATCTTTCACTGAGTAGAACTTGGTGCAACTTTAAGAAAATTGCCTCCTACCTGGTAAACAGGTTCATTAAAATGACAGAGTGCCCTTAGGCACTAAACCTGGGAGTATTTACCCCTGATCTGGGTGGCTGAGCAAGCCTCTGGCTCCCCTAAGAAATCAAAGGCCTCCTAAAGGCTAATAAAATATTGCCTCTCCTCATGGAAACTTTCTCAGAACTAAGAAGGAGCCAGGGGTCCTTGCCAGCTAAGACCAGGAGACCAGTTTCTTCCGCCAATTGAAAATGATAACAGGGACGTGTATAGGGAGAACTTGGAAAGCATAGGGAGGTGAGGGCCCAGTCGCCCTCTTCCTGACTCCCTCCAGGAGCTAGTTTACTTACAGACCCATCCCAACAACATGAGATAGTAAATGTAGGGAGCCAATTTGCAGCGGGGAGAATGCGGGTGCTACTGTGGGGACAGGCTTCTCAAAGTAGGCCCACCTAGTGGTGCCTTATGAAAGGGCGAGTCATCGCGGGGCCTGACCACGCTGCTGGCGGCCTCGGGCACCGACTCCCCAGCCCACGGTGGGAGCCCGGCGCAGGCTGCCACCCGCCTGCCGCCCCCGGACCGGACCCACGCGGCAGCAGCGGCGGCAGGGCGGGGCGCGTGCCCTCGCCCGAGGAGATGGAGGAGGAGGCGATCGCCAGCGCCCCCGGGAACGAGACGGAGGACGTGGACTTCCTGTCTGGGCTGGAACCGGTCGATCTGCTGGACCCCCAGCAACCGGACTGGCCCCTGGAGCCTGGGCTCAGCTCGCCCTTGGGGGGGCGAGGACTGCGTCCTCCATCTTGCCCTGGGTCCTCCATTTTTGGGGCGGCCACCATGTGCTCAGGAGAGTGCCTTCTTCCCGGAAGCCCAGGCCCCTGCTGGCCACGCCCAGGATTTCTTTAAACTAACCAATGACAATCAAGGGACGTGCACGCCAGAGAGATGACCACATCCTGTGTAAGAAGACCCGACTCGCGCCTGGCCAATTGGCGGGGCCCACAGTCCCCTCCCCTGCCCTTACTATAAAACCCACAATCCCATCAGGCCTCGCTCTCTCTCGGCCACTGGAGCTTACTGTTGCATCGGTGAGTGTGGCAGGGGAGCCAAACCTAGGTTTGAAATGAATGACTCTTTGCTTTTGCATCGGACTCGCTGGCTCCCTGTGGGGGTTCTTGGGAATCTTGAAATCTGGGCACAACACTTAGAAAGAGGCCAGGGATGTGGAAGGGACCCTGGTGATATTGAGAAAAAGCACAGAATGCCATTGCCTTGGAGGGCTCCTGAATGTGAATCCTGTGTGCTAACAGCAGCACTGAATTTTCACAACTGGAAAATGGAAATAGTAACAGGTGTGAGGATTAACTAAAATAATAGAGTCGTCCCTCCATATCTTCGAGGGGATTGGTTCCAGGACCCCCAAGGATTTCAAAATTTAAAGATGCTCAAGTCCCTTATATAAAACTAGGGGCCCAGTGCATGAATTCGTGCACCTTGAAAGGAACTGTGGGCCACGAGGCTGCAGTAGGCACAGGGTCAGTTCTCGGCCCACCCTCCACGCCCCTGCCCGGCCCCTCCCACCATGGCCCTGGTCCCCTGTCTGCCGCAGCCCCACTCCCACTGCTGCCGCTCCCACACACTAATGGCACTGGCCCCGTTTGCACCCGTTAAAGACACGAAGCTATTGGGGCCAGCGCCAGCAGCAGGTGCAAGTGGGGCTGGCAATGTCAGTGGGTGCAAGCAGCAGCTGCTGCCCTGATTGCTCCTCAGGAGCAGGGGAAGGTGGAGTAGCCCTCAGGGGCGATCAGGGCCGGCAGCCACTGCCCACACCCATTGATGGCACCAAGCGATCAGAGCCAGCACCAGGCACTGGCAGCAGGTGCAAGCGGTAGCTCCAGTGCTGGCTGCGGGTGCAAGCTGGGCCAGCACTGGCAGTGAGTGCGAGCAGCGGCTCTGGCCCCATGAGCGGGTGTGAGCGGCAGCTGCCGGCCCCGATCTCCCCTCAGGAGCAGGGGGAGGTAGAGAAGCCCTGAGGAGCAATAGGAGCCAGCAGCCGCCACTCGCACCTGCTGATGGTGCCAATCGATTGGGGCCAGCACCAGGCACTGGCAGTGGGTGTGAGCAGGGCCAGTGCAGGTAGCAGGTGCAGGTGGCAGGTGGGACTGTGGTGTGTGGGAGCAAAGAATTTTCAGTAACCACCAGAGGCTCTCTCCAATGGCAGTGACTGGTGCCCCGCCTTGGTAAGGCGCCCCCCACTCACATGCTCCACCATCCTGCTGCGGCCAATGCCCACCATGTTCCACACACGCCCGCTAGTGGTCAGTGCATGTTATAGTGACTGGTTGTTCTGTTGTTCTGCTGTTCTATTTGCATATTAGCCTTTTATTATATAGAACTAGAGGCCCGGTGCAAGAAATTTGTGCACTCGGGTGGGGAGGTCCCTCAACCCGGCTTGCGCCCTTTCACAATTCAGGAGCCCTCGGGGGATGTCTGAGTAACGGCTCAGGCCCACTCCCCCCAGGGAGCAGGCCTAAGCTGGCAGTTGGACATCCTTAGCACTGCAGCAGAGGTAGGAGAGGCTCCCACCACTGCCACTGTGCTCACCAGCCATGAGCCCAGCTTCTGGCTGAGCGGTGCTCCCCCTGTGGGAGCACACTGACCACCAGGGGGCAGCTCCTGCATTGAGTGTCTCCTCCCTGGTGGTCAGTGAGCATCATAGTGACCAGTCATTCTGCCATCAGGCTGAAATTGGCTCTCTGACATCCCCCAAGGGGTCCTGGATTGTGAGAGAGTGCAGGCCAGGCTGAGGGACCCCACTGGTGCATGATTGGGGCTGGGGAGGGACTGCGGGAGGACTCCAGGGCATGACTGGCCTGTTTCGCTCAATCCCGATCATCCAGACCCCAGCAGCAAGTTAACCTAATGGTCAGAGCATCTGCCCCCCTAGTGGTCAGTGCACATCATAGTGACTGGTTGACAGGTCAACTCTCTGTCCCCTGGTGGTCAGTGCACGTCATAGCGAGCAGTTGAGTAGCCTTAGCATATCATTAGCATATTACACTTTGATTGGTTGAATGGCCAACCTAATGACTGGACACTTAGCATATTAGGCTTTTATTATATAGGGTGGCTGGCATAGTGTTTGCATATGACCTTGCACATCCTCCCATGTACTTTAAGCCATCCCTAAATTACTTATAATGCCCAATACAATGTAAATGCTATGTAAATAGTTGTTATATTGTATTATTTAGGGAATAATGACAAGAAAAAAGTCTCTATATGTTCGGTATAGATGCAACCATTGTAGACAACAACATAACTTTTTTTTTAAATATTTTCTATTCAAGGTTGGTGAATGCAGAGCCCATAAATACAGAGGGGACTGTATTTACAACACTTAACATAACTCTCAACAATTGCAGTTGACTAATATAAATGTTTAGTTATTGTGGCAACGTCATTATTAACTTGATTAATAATTTGTGACCTGCATAGGGTACCAGTCAAAACAATAACAAGTACCCTGACAAGGTATTTGTGTGGAGGTTGGAACTGAAATTATTTTCACTGATTTCTTATGAGAATTCATAAGAAATATATAGCTTTCCTCTAAGAAGCCAATGGCAGTAGAAATGAAATGGTGCTAACATCAGCTCGGATCCCTGCTGGAGCCAAATTTATGCTGATCTACCTAATAATGCTCCAGGCTGCCCAGTATACAGTGGGGTAGCGTGCCCAATTTATCTTTTAATAGGAGAACAATAGGGGAAAGCCAGAGTGTGCTGGACAACCTGAGCAATTACCTTGCTCTATTTTTTACCAAATACTTGGAGAGTGAGAAAATTTAAATGCTTAATACATTGCAAATTCATAGAATGAATGAATGACTGGGAAAGTTCTGCCAAGAAATGACTGCAGTGAGCCAGTAGGACATGAATACTGCCTGAACCAAA